CCTTTAACAGTTGTGACCTTTATTGCTGTAGCATTACTCTTTCTGCATTCATCAGTAACATGCCTCATCTTCAATTACTGAGATGCAGAAATTATTAGCATTGGTTTACCGAGTAGGACAGGTGTTGGTTATCAACTATAACACAAAGATAACTTCTGTTGGGGACAACATTACAATTTCAGCTAGTGCCCTAGTCACTGCGCAGAGTTTATAAAATGAGATACTGCACATGATAGAATATCAGTGACTACCCCATAAATGCTTTGTGAACATAATGCCACTGCTCCATGAAAATATGCTCAGTCCATGGCAGCAGCTCAACATATACCGTAGTTAAAAATCTGCTTAGCCTTATAAGGAGTTTAAAGAGACCCTGTCACCAACGTAAAAAATGCAGGTAAAAACACAGAAAATTTTTAATGCTAACATGCAGTGTTTTTCCTTTTTATTCACTTGTAATGTTACATAGTTACACAGTTGTCGAGGTTGAATAAAGACACAGGTCCATCAAGTTCAACCCATGCGAGTTACTAAGAGTACCTGTACCCAGGGGCATCCCGTGCCAGGGTGTCAACCGGAGTGGGTACCGGGTGACACCCCACTGCGACGTCATCGCGCATGCACGTGATGACGTTATGCACTGTTACCTGTGAGCAGCCATCTTGGTGATGGACGCCGGCAGAGAGAAGGGGGCGATAACTGGGCAGGATAAGGTATGTCGCTGAGTCCCCTCCTCTCTCCTGCAATTGTCGAGCTCTCTGTCCATGACCGAGTGCCTGACTTTTCAGAGGGGCTGACACCAAAATGTCAGTCATTTTGGTGCCATCCCTCCAATGGTGTCACCTGGGTGCGAACTGCACACCCCTTGTGACAACACTACCTGTACCCCCGTATATTGTGCTCTCTGAGGAAAGCAACTAAAAGGTTCTTGAATGAGTCAATATTCTTAGCTGAAACCACTGCCTGGGGAAGGGATTTCCACATTTGTACAGCTCTTACAGTAAAGAATCCCCTTCACAGTCTAAGATTAACCTTTTTTTTTTTTTTCACAAGTACATTTTTTTATTGTTTGAAAAGTTACAAGTGCAAGTACATAAGCAGTGAACAAGTACTTAACAAGTACAGAACCTCATAACAAATGGGAAAAACATAACTGTAGGTCTGAGCCTTGTTGCGAGAGACCCTGTTATTTTAGAGTAGCTACATATCCTTCCGTCCCTCTATGTCACTGGATATCTCATGATGATTACCTACATGCCACATTTGGTTTCGTGGGAGAGCAGTCATCTTCAAAATGGCTGCTCTGCCAAACCAGGACTAGAGCGGTAGATTAACCTTTTTTAATCCAATTTCAGGTGGTGGCCTCTTGTCTTCTTGTGTGAACTAACAGTAAGCGATTTATTACTGTTTCCACCATCACCATTAAAGCATGTACACATTGGTATCATATCCCCTCTTAATCTCTTCTTTTCCAGAGCAAACAAGTTTAATTGTTTAGTTGCAATCTCACCCCCTTTATTAGTTTTGTTGCCCTTCTCTGGACTCTCTTCAGATCAAGGACATCCTTTCTGTAGATCGGTGACCAAAATTTAACAGCATATTCAAGATGAGGCCGAACCAGTGTAAAGGAGCAGAATTATGGGGATTAGTCTTTAGAGTACATCAACTTTTTTATGCATGATAGTAGTCTGCTGTTTTTTCTGCAGCCTGACATTGCCTGCTGTTATTACATCTGCTGTCAACTAGGTCCCCCAAATCTTGTTCCACCTCTGATTCCCTGGGTGGAGAACCCATTAATGAGTAGCTTGCATTCATATTTTTAACACCATAATGCATAACTTTACATTCTTCAATATTAACCCTTTCGCTGCCACCGACGTAAGGCATACGGCGGAAACAAAAGTGTTCCCGGCTGGCCAGCTCAGTATGCCTTACGTCGGTGGCATTTACAGTTCTGCTATAAGCTCATGGTCGATTTAGCGACCATAAGCTTATAGCAGAACTGTTCAGCTGACTGTCCCCGTCAAAATAATAGCTGTCATCAGCGGCTCACAAGCCGCTGATGACGGCTATTGCCAAAAATACCGGGCACCCCCCCCTCGCCGGCATCTGGAGTCTCTCATCCCTCCCTGGAGCCACCCAAGGGAGGGATGAGAGACTCCATGGATCCCCGCTGCTTGTAGGGTCTGTGGCAGCGGGGATCCGTAATAAAATCACCGGCGGGGGGGTCCCGGGAACAAGCGGCGGACGGCCGCAATTCAGGATGGCCGAGCAGCATAGTGATCGGAGCCGCTGTCATCCTAATGTTCCGGAGGGCTTGGCAGCGAAAGGGTTAAACCTCATCCGCCACATAGTTGCCCACTCCTCTATTTTATCCAGGTTCCTGCAATATTGCTATGTCTTTTGTCGAATTGATCACCCTATAAATTTTGGGATCGTCAGCAAACACTGAAATATGGCTATTAATACCAACACCAATATCATTAATAAAACAGGTTGAACAGCATTGGCCCCAAGACAGAACCCTGGGGCAGCCACTCTCAAAGACCACTTAGAAAACCAGCCAAAAATCGAAACTTTCTGGACCCATTCCTGTAGCCAGTTCTCTATCCATGTACACATTATTTAATCTATGCCCAAAGATTGTAGTTTGTATATTAAGCATTTATGTGGTACCATATCAACTGCTTTTGCAAAATCTAGGTACACTACATCCACTGGATTTCCTCCATCCAGATTGCCATTTACCTCCTCATAGAATGCTAATAAGTTGGTCTTTCATGAATCCATGCTGGTTGTCATTTATCATGACCATAGGAAAATTCTTGAATATTGTCCTTTTATCATTCCCTCAAATAATTTGCATACTATTGATATTAGGCTGACTGGTCTGTAATTCTCAGGTACACATCTTAAACCTTTTTTGGATAGCGGTACAACAGTTGCTTTACGCCAATCAGTTGGTACCCCTCTGGTCATTAAGGAGTCCTTAAACATTGGAAAGGTCTCACGTGATTTATTCACTTCTGTGTGGTATATTCCGCACATTGCTACTCACATTCTTGTTATGGCCATTAAACCCATCTTTTTCGAGAGTATATACTATGGAGAAGAATGCATTCAATACCTCAGTCTTCTCCCAGTCATTTGTGATCAATCTCCCATGCTCATTGTTCATCGACCTTCCAGCCCTTTTCTTACCTTTTACTGTTTTTATATATTTTTTTTTTACAATGTTTTTGTATTCTATTTTTGCTGCCCAGATTGTGCTTTTACATCTCTTATTGCATTCCTTGCAGTTCTCCCTCCCATCTTATATTTTTTCATTTCCAGCTACTTCTCCCTGATGTTGTTTTATCATTGGATTCAGCCACAAAGGTTTAAAAGGAGAACTATGGGGTTAAGGCTTTTCCCCATAGTTCTCCTTAGGTAACGGGAGGACACAAACTAGCATCCTCCCGTCACCCTAGGCTCAGTATACCGCGAGCTGCAGCTCACAGTATACTGAGACGCCGCAGTATACCGCGAGCTGCTGCTCGCGATATACTGAGACGCCTCAGCTGAAGCGGATCACGACACTTGTGCCGGGATCCGCCCAGCTGCGTGACTGACAGCTGGCTCTGCCTATCTAGAGGCAGAACCAGCTGTACCCGCCCCCTCCCCCGTCCGTTGCGCCAGTCAACGCTGGAGGATCGGAGCGGGGAATGCAGTCTTTTCTCTTTTCTGTAACCTACTGTAAACATAATCACTGTTACCCAAGTTTTCCCAAGTTGCTATGTCTGAAACCAGCTCTGCATTATGTGCCTGTGAACTTGCTAGAAAATTTGACTACTCCAGGAGAGTCAATTTCCTAGCATAGCCCCCTCCCTCTTACTTGTCATGGCCTTCTCCTCTTCTGCAAGTGTCTAACTACTCTATGTCATGACCCAGCCTCTCTGCTCCTCCCCCTATCTCCCCAAATAACATTTTAAGCAGCAGCCGGAAAAAGGAACAAAAAGGGAAATACTGTAGAGTGTTACTTGAGTCTGTCACTTGAGCCCAACAGCAGTGTCAGGGCTATTGGATATTAACAGAAGGATGGCTTTTACAGGTAAAAAAAAATGAATACAAATGTTAAATGCACATACCTGTATCTTGTTGGAAGATTTGTGTTCACATGAATTGTCTGCAACAGGACCTATTTAAGCTTCTCTCATCTGATCTGCAAGTCTGTGCCCTTGGTGGAGACTAATAAAGGTGGACTTATATTACCCATGAAATATGACCAATATAAAAAATATCATTAACATGCAAATATAAGGATAGGATTAGTAGATTATATTCACGAGACTGGAGTATGAACAGCATTAAAACAGACAAATTTACACACACACAATGTTCTATAGAGCTTTCTTTTATTTTACGTATCACAGCTGTACAATCTTCATACATACAGAAGGAAATGCACACTGCTTATACAGTGGCATTTGTTAGCATTTTCAATTATAATACATCAAGTGCAAATCCACTTATGAAATGTACATTTATACAAATTAGGATTGCTTCACAATTACCTGTGGCTGTATAAAGCTTGATTTGTGTGTTGAAATTACTAAAACACTGTCCAGATAAATAAATAAAAATGTTTTAAAATGGTCCCTGCATTATGGACCAAGAAACCGTATAAAACATTTGCCATGTAAAATGCAATAATTTGCATTGCTATAAAATAAGCTACAAAATTGAAACTACTGAAATAATAATGATAGCGGCAAAAAATTGGGTTCTTCTTTATCCAATGTCAGTACGATGTTTGAACTGAAAGACATAGCAGTGGTTACTAAGTGATTTACATTATGCAAAATAATCTGACATAACATTATGCCATAGAGTGTGAAATTTAATAGCGATGAGTTCAAAGTGACAAACTGTATGGAAACTAGTGGATGGACACAGTGCTTTAAGAAATTTAGAAGTGCGTTAAATATCCACCACAACTACTCGGTTTTTAGTCCTTTTCCGCTAGTGGTGGGGCCTGGAACACTGAGCTTTAGAAGACATACATGGCATGGATGTTTAACCAGCTCACTCGGTAGATTTATGGACAATTAACACTATATAAAAAGTGACGTTATTGCTGTCTCTATAAAGGAAATGGATACATTCCTAAACTTACTGAAAAATATACAAATTGCAATCCTTATTACCTTCATTAAGTGTGCCAGGACAATAAATACAACATATTAGCCATCCCCCTCCCCACCCCCACCCATACATAAGCTTCTGTAAACTACCTATTGTATGCTCTCTCTTTTTTAGATTTCTCAAGTGCTTTGCCCATGGTTTTCTCATTTTCCCCTCTGCATTCGGGACAGTACCATTTACCCTTTGGTTTATGATTGAGTCCCACACAAGAAAAGTGAAACCACTCTATTGGGCATTCCTCGTTATCACAGCCAATCATTTCCCCGTAGGACACTTGATTGCATAGGCAATAGGTGGGCTCATTGGGGTCTATAGGAAGATCTGCCGGCGAGGCTTCTCTCTCAGCCTTAGCTTTGGATCGCTTTTTCTTCTTTGATGTTTTTGGCTTCTTCTCTTTGGGGGTTCCTGTAGTAAGGTCATCATGGTCATGATTAATAGTTGAATTTTCTCGGTTCTCATTGTTCCTCTGCCTCCTTGATCTCTTATTGCTGGATTTTTCCGTCTGAGAGATTGTTTCACTTTTAGACTTATCCTGGTTGCTCTTGCTGCTATTACTTGTACTGTCATTTAAATCTTGACATGTTTCAAACAGTTCCACATGACTGTCTACTTGCCTTGTTTTGTTTTCAACCAGCTCCACCATCTGGCTCACTATTTGGATCTTGTCATCACCCAGCTCTTGACTCCGAATAAGAGCTCTCTGGATGAACTGCAAAAGACGTCGCTTTTGTATCGCATCAGATTCACGTCTGAACTTTTCATAATAGTCATCCAATTCCTTCAGGATCTCTGCAATGATATTGAAAGGATATGTTAAAGAGAAAAAGTATCTTCATTGTCAACCAAAACAATTTACTTTAAACAAAAAAAAAAAAATCAGTCTTACAGCAATGGTGGTAACACAATGAGAGGAAGACGTGATAAATATGATGTTGTTTCATGTGCCAGGTTAAGAAAGCTGTCCTAAGACTTGAAAGTGATGAATAATTAGTGTAGTTAAAAACTAATAACTTCAGAGAAATAAAAGGTGGCAGCTATGAGAAAAGGGGGAGGGAGTGGCAAATGGAATAGATCTAACAGTCCAAGCAGTCAAATAAAAGTTTATATGATGAAGCCCATGATGGTTAAAACTGTAGAAAATGAAAAAAAAAACATAAAATTATTAGGCCTCTCCGTGCTGTGATACTGCATTTGAAAACTAGTAGAGCAAACCTTTCATGCCAACATAGAGCTGCTTCTGTTTGCTATTCTACTGCAGTACAGGGAACTCTGTCCTTCAAACTCATGTTGAAGGTGGCCCTATTACAGTTCATGAGGGCAAGTTGCTACAAAGATATAAAATGTATCAACCTTTCCACATTTTTATTTACACCAGGCAAGCTCTTAGATATACAGATAATGTTTAGCACAGGGCTTAAGACTATAGACAAGTATCTTCGTTTAGCAATAGTCAACAACTCCTGGATACTAAGTGCTACTCGGTAGAGAGGTATATGCCATTATTTTACCATTGGCCAAGCCATCAAAACCAAATGTAACAGAGCACTAGCTTCCACTTTAGATTCTGGAGCCCAGATACATGATTTGATATGCCCTAATATTCTTTACAGCTTTAGTGTTCCACAATTCATTTTACATTTACTTTTAGTTAAAATGGTAGCATAAGCTGTTCAGAAAGAACCAAACATCATGATGATGTGCTTGAATAAAGTAGAGACAAAGAGAAAACTGTGGCCTAAACCTTCTACAGAACCAGCTTTTAGTGCATTATTGTGACAAAGTAAAAGTATGAATCTGATATCATTGTTATAGGCAATGTAAAATCTTCTTCTTCCAGATGCTTGATCATCACACCCATGTTGAGAAGGAAAATTCTGTTTGCTGAAAGTAAAATAAATGCAGCAGCATTAATTACATTTTCTCAGCACTTTTAATTTTGTGCCACTCCAGAGGTGAGGTAAATGCTGAAGGCAACATGAGCCACAGAATAAATTCTGCTCTCTCAGCTGATCTGTAGAACATTGGCCTTTTAATAATCCAAGTGCAGATCAGAGTTGTAGGACAAGTCCCATCATACAATAGCAATGAGGATTTTTGGAACAAAGGCTGACTGTAGGCTGCCTGTACATTCTGAATAACAAAAATTCTCGTCTATCTTACATTAAAAACAATACTTTTTGTTTGTACAAAATACATTTAATTCCCCTTTTCCTTCCTTTCAATTTCTTGTTTATATACATTAAATTACATTACAGAAGAATGCCTAATATGTGTAAATAAATGCCAAATGGATTCAAATGTTTAAAAGATTAGTAAAGATATTAACACATTAATTAAATAATAAAGTCTGCAAACTACAGAGGCTTCCTTGCAAATAAAGAAGAACTTCAGCCAAATAGCTTAATACACTATTCAAACACATAAACGTGAATTGTTTTACATTCCTGGGAATTTGCAATTTTGTTTAGCCAGTCTTGAGACTCGCACACTCTTGCCATGCTGCACTGCCAAGCAGGCAACAGCCCTATTTCTTGCCTCAGCTTTGCAGCTTCTATGGTCACTTCTCTGCCTCCAGCCCCCTCATTAGACATAAAATCAGTATTGTCACACTGTCCAAAAGGCAGCCAGATGGCCCAATAATGTAAATATCTGAATCAGGAAATACTGGAGTCATCTTGCTGAAAACAAAGTTGCGGGAGTATGTGCATTACAAGTCCTTTGGCAGACAAGTTTGTTCATATGTATGCATCCCAAATAGCTATCTAATGTGGAGTTGTGCAGTAAAACCCATTCATAATTGTAACCCTCCCCTTCATCGCTTCCATCTTTTCTAAGAGTAACAACTAGTGAGCCACGGTTGCAGACTGGACCAACGGATTGCCAACCGCTATTATGTCTGCTCTGGAGGCTTCAGGAGCCGACCAATGGACACAGTGGGCAGTGACCACATCACAAGGCAGCGACGTGGGCACCCAAAGAAGGACTCCCTTACTCAACAGCGAAGAAGCAAAAAGACTTGGGACCCAGTGGGAGGCATAAAAAAAAAAAGGCAGTGACACAGGCACCCAAAGAAGGGCCCTCTTACTTTAAAGCGAAGAACCAAGAAGACTCAAGACCCAGTGGGAAGTGTCAAAAACACAAGGCAGTGACACAGGCACAAAAAGGACCCTCTTACTCTACAGCGAAGAAGCAAAAAGACTCAGGACCCAGTGGGAAGCGTCTAAAACCCCAGGCAGCCACACAGGCACCAAAAGAAGGACCCTTCTACTCTATATCGACTCGGGACATGGCACATCATGTGACTGTGGATTTAGGGAAGTATTTGTTGCATTTTGTCATGTTAAGGAGGGGTGTCTTCCCTGCTTGGACATCAACTTTAACCTACTGCATATTTCTAGCCGTTCACCTATATCTGTAGTCAAATTAATGTAACAAAATCACCACTTACCTACGAGCGCAGGCATTTCCAAATGCACACCTTTTTACAGCACCCTGAAGGCCTCAAACCCCAGGGGGCTCAACTGGAAAGCTGGTATTTTATCCATCTTACACCTGTCTGTAAAGCCTCCCCTTTGGCCAGTGAGGCAGCCCACCATGTTGCTAGGTCAAGAGTGAGGTTCAGGAAGCAGGGCCAAGCTTCCCATATTGTCACTATAAATATGCATGCCAGTTATTGAACGTTTGCGCATGTGGGTGGTACACTATCACATGTATTGCAAGCACGCCCACACATATTGAGTGAATGTGCATGTAAGCGCATCTTTACATGTGCGTGTCATTACATGCCCCACGCTGCACTGGGGCACTATCTGTGCCGTTTTAGGCGTGCTTTGGCATTCCTAGCATGGAATATATAAGGGGCCCTTTTTGAGGTATGGACCAAGGTCTTTCCTCCCCAAGTACCAGGCTCTATTGCATGAGTGGACACTCTGGTTCTGACCTGCACAAAAATATATATTTTCTATCTTTTATTTTTGTGCCCTCTCCTTTGTTGGCAGTTGGATGTATAGTGTGTTCCTAGTCACATGTATCCGTGGATAGCCTAGACATGTTGTATGATCTAGGATGGACCATTTATTTTTCCCATACATCTTATGCTAGGCAACCCTCCCTTTATGTTTAAACAGTATACACTTGCGGTCATATATTTATTGGGCCTCAGTTGGACCCTTAATTCTCCCCTATAACATACATGTAGATAGAAGTAGATAGTCTACAATATCGATAATTTTATAGATTGTCTAGTATTCGTTCAGGGTTCTTTAGTATCCCTGGATTGGATGGATTTATACATACATCCATCTATTTACCTTAACAGAGATGGAAGCTTACTTGTTATTTGGGATTTTTACAGCCCGTCCGTGCACCCCTCTCCCCCCTACTTGGCTAAGTATGTTCAAGAAATGTGAACCCCTATGGTTCTAGCTTACTGAATTGGTATAATCTAATTTTAGTTTTTTTCATCATATTTCTCTATAGTGATATCATTCATTAAAGACTGATGAAGCAGCTCGATGGCTGTGAAATGTGTTACTTATATACAGCACTGCGCCAAAACTCCTCTACCTGCGCACGGTGAATACTTACAGTTTTATCATCTTGAGGATCTCCCACAGATGCTGGACTTTGTAAGATCTCTTGGGAGTAGTGTTTTGTGCTTCAATTTACTTTATGGATCCAAATGAAGCATACCTTGTATTGTATTGGATGTTTTCATGAACTGATGTTTTCATATGTAACAATAACTGTTGAGAATTGTATTTATTGTGATGTTTTTAAGGACTTATCTTAAATGATGACTCTTGAGCCAATCATCTTCTTCCTTCCACTTGTATTCAGCAATCCCTCCAGCGCTGGTAGCAGTCTCTGATCCAGCGCAGACACCTCACTGCTGCATGCATTAACTTACAGTGAGTCTCTCCTCTTCTCCCCACCAAAGATCTGTACTGCACATTCACCTGCCCCATCGTCCTGCTCGGCCGCTCGAGATCTTCGACTGGAGCGAGCGGCAAAGACAAGTAATTACCTATTTGGTAGCTTTTTTTTAATGTTTTTTGTCATTTTAAAAAACAAATGTTTAATTATACTTTAAAAGTTCATTATTTTTAATGGTTGAATATTGTAAGGATCTCTAATGAGTATGATGTGGTGTAGGTTCCATGTCTATGTTGTACTTTCTAGTTTGCTTGGGATATATAGAGATATCTATCTATCTATTTACACACATACATATATAGTGATTTTCTGATCATTCTATAAACTCCAGATGAATACATAATGAAAGAAATACTGTTTGCATAACACGACATACTGGACAGCCCTCAGATTAGCTGCAGGTGATTTTGTCTACACTCGATTGACCCGAAAAACGAATGGGTGAAATTAAACAACAATCGGTCATGGGAGATTTCAGGATGTTTTCTGTTGCCTGGTTGATATAAATGAAAATCTGGAAGGGGAAACAAAAGTGTACAATTTACCCATAGCAACCAATCAGATCCCTCTCTCTGGAAAAAAAATGACACCTGACAGGTTGCTGTGATTTTCATTAATCAGCCCCAATGTATAATAAATGAAGGGACAGGTGCTCTTTATGGCAGTAGTATGTGGCTAGAACAATAGTGTGTACTGTATTTCTATGGGCACTCACAGTAGCAAAGGCAGTTTTATTATACTACAAATAAATATATTATTCTTCTGCAAGGAAAGGGAAACAAAGAAGATCTATAGGAGGTGTCGAATGAGGATTTCTGGTTTCATCACTTTATGAACTTCGCTAGACAGATAGATGAAACGGCTATTTTCACTGATGGTACAGGGCATCCTCAGCAGTGCTGGCATCCGATACTGTCTATGATAACACAGGGAACAATGACCACAAAAGATGTCATCGCTCAATGCTCAGCACTAATTCAATCTTCCGAACAGAAAAACGAATGTACTACGTCTAACCTGCTCCTACGAGGCTACTGCCTCGGACTACCATTTTTACTATGGGTAGGGAAACCATTACTATAAACCGTGTACAGAGAGAAAAGACAGCAAGAACGCCACAAAGCCGCCTCCAGCTCTACAGAAACAGCTCGCTTGCTATAAAATAATATTCACGGTCAATGGCACTTCACGACTTGCCCACATCAAAGATGGCCGCCCAACACTTGCCTACGTTCCTTCTATTTGTGTCTCGAATAGATCCGTCTGTCTTTTAGGAAAGCAGCAAGCCTGAAACCGCCCATCTACCGACTGACAGCCAATGCCGTCAAACGGGGTGGGCACAAGCATTTAAATGAACATAGAAGTGTCATGCTAAATGGCGAAAAGGAGGGCGGGGTTCTGTGGCAAGGGGCGGAGACGAACGAGCAGCAAATAACAAGATAGGCAGGCCCCGGGATGTTCTAAACTAGAAAGCGTAAACCAATCAGAACGCAGAGGTGGAGCAACTAGAACGACGTTTACGAGGCCCCCGTTATAAAAAGCTAGTGTGCAAAGCGAGCCAGGTTAAAGCGCGGCTGGCGCTGTGAGTTAAGGGCGATATGCACTTAACTGGCGTCCTGCCTGTTTGTGAATTTTTCTTTTCTGCGTTTCCTAGACACATACAAATGACTGTTCTCATACACAGCTCCATGTACTATCACCTAGCACGGCTCAAGACGCCGTAACAGCCGCTTCTCCGCACTCTGACTGGCCCCCGGTAATATGGCCACATATGGCTTTACCGTACGGACATAAAGTGACGAAGGAAGTGAAAGGTGACGCATTTGTCTGTCTCCGTGGGTGCCTCCTCCGGTACACGGTGCAAGGGGAGGAGGCGTTCAGCGCACTGCGGCCCCGGCTCAGTAAACACAGCCATAGATTTGTGTAAAGTGTCAGTCAGCCCTCCGCACGCATCAATGTCACACTTTTCCACCATAAGCCGACGTGTCCGTCCCTGAAACTTCCTTCCCCACCGCGGAGGACAATGCAGGGTGACAACAAGGGGGTCACACAGACAACCCCCCTCCGTCTGATACAAGGAGACCTGCACCATGGAACCAGATGGAAGAGACAAGAGGGAGGGCGAGCAACTGCAGCCAATGCACACACAGCCTAGAAAGCACTGCGGCTAGGGCGATGGAGATGGCTTTGCAGTTCAATAAAACAAGTGGCAGTGCTGAGTAGAAGAGAGATCCATGGGCGACAAAACTGCAAGATGATTGCTAAGAAGAACACAATGAACAAAATGAAGCAGAGGAAACCCTGCCCACCACTACAGCACAAGCTGCTGCCTCTCTCCTCTCTCTCTTTTTACTAGCAGTTACTACTACAGCCATCCTGATGACTGTACATTCCTCAGTGTTGTTGTGCTCTAATCTCAGCCTAAAGCATCCAGCTCACCAGGAAGCCTCATCTTTGTTCCCAATGTGACGGCATTATTCCAGGTGACTTTAGCAGCTCTCCCGATTTACTGCTCTGATCTTACAATAGAAGACCTTTTGTTCCGCCCTATGACACAAGTGTCTGGAAAGTAACCTCTAAATAGAGCCATCAGAGTGCTGAACAGTGCAGGGTCTGGGGATCACACACAATGCAGGAGCATAGACAGAAATGGAGCAGAGGAGGAATGGGGGGGGTAAAAAGTTGAATGATGGACAGGATCGGGCACCCACCTTGGTATTTGGCATCGATTTCCCTCATAAGGGAGACGTTTCTTTGTAGATCGAAAGGCAGGGACTCGATGGAATCCAAGTAATCCTCTACATAGTTCACCATGTGGGTCTGGTCGCCGTTGGTAGGGTTCAACATCCTGTGCCGCTCCAGCGTCCAGCAGCCAGCCAGCAGCCTCCTGCCAGCTCCAGGATCTAGCCCTCTTAAGGCACTTGGCCAGCAGCAGTGGCTGCGACCCCCCTTCTAGGCAGGAGGAGAAGGGATCAAGGCAGGCTTCCCCCCCTCTCTCCTACCTAAGCCCCAACAACTAGCCCAAGGATGATGTGTAGGACGACAACAACACACAAAGGCGACCCGCTCCGAGCAGGAGGCAACCTGTGCCTGGCATCAAGATGCCACTTACTGCAAAGGCTCGTGCACGCTTGTCGGGGCAATAAAAAGGAAAAAAATCGAAAAAAGTCCAGCAGTATGAGCAGCTGATTGAACGGCTGTCTTTCAGGACAACTTGGGAACAAGACAGTGGAAGGAGGTTGTGGGGTGTGTGTGTGTGTGTGTGTGTGTGTGTAAAGGGGGGGGAGAAAGAGGTGGGGGCTGAGAGGACAGAATACAGCAGGCAGGAAAATGAAGCCTGCTAGTCGATGATGGTAATAAAGATGAAAGTGTAAGATGTGTCCCCGGGGTTGTACAAGGTGACTACGCCTGCATGTGTGACTACGTCTGGGTGATCGCTGGGGAAGGGGGTGGTCCTCGACCTGTCACTTGTCATCCATATGACCGTACAGGCTGCTGTCCCGGGGATGAATGCGAATCACATCCACTCCACATTCCCTACATTATACATAGCGCAGGTAGCGGCAGTTTTACACACTTGGGAAACATTCAGCCCCCCCCCCCCTCTTCATCCTGAAAACGGCGAGCATGCGCAGTGCGCACAGGGAGCCCTCTCCTACTTCACCATTCAAGCGGCTCTTTCATTTGTATTCGGCGCAACGCCACCCAGCCCACTAGTACTGAGCCCCCACTGAGCACCTGTGAGGTGTGTGGGTGTTATGTACGTTGAAAGAACACACACAAAGTTACACTGGAGTCAATGGGACTCGTGCACAGTTCCTCCACGGGGAATTATGACAGCGCAGCTGCTTGTCAGTGGTAAACTACTAATCCCAGAATCCATCTGTCACAAGCTACCAACCAATCGCCGTATACCTTCACCGTTCGAAGGAGGGGTATGTAACGCGCGCCACCGCAAATCCCCAATGCTCGAAGTTCTATGGTAGCGCGCGGCGCGTTCCCGCGGTGGGCGGAACGAAGTGAAAAGGACGGAAGTCACTATAGTAAAGTGGGGCGTGTGCTTGCGGAGAGTGGGCGGTGATTTGCCAACCTTAGTAACCATGACAACAACGCCAACAGGCCAGCCTGAATGCTTCAGTGGCGGGTTGAGAGGGCGCGTGATGCAAGGGAAGGAGGGCTTAATTATGCCGAGTGGGCGGGGTTTCTGCGTGAAAAAGGAGAGAGGTTGGCAGGGTGAGACGGAAGAGGGATGTGGGAGTGTTCTGTAGTGCGAGGACCAGCAAGTGGTTCGGCTTATGTGCCTGGTCGGGGACGTCTGTACTGATACATAAATAACATTGTTGTCTTCTTATATTACAATGATTGGTAACGACGATCAGGAAGTGTATGGTGCACGATGTAAGCCACTCGACCTTGCCATGTAAAAAGTCCAATTTATACGCAGCTCATGTGATCATGTGATTCGCTCTATTATTGTGTACCCTGTTGGGGCAAGACTGCAACCTGGTGTATAGGCAACTGCGTGCAGTAAGTTGTGCGTTTTTATGAGCAGATTGTGACACAATGATGTAAATGGGCAAAACGTGTACAAAACCAATTGCAACATGCGTTTCCTATTGATTATTGGGACAAAATGAGCTGTAATCTGCCAAAAAGTAGTTCATGTACTTTTTTGGGCGACAGACATTTTGCTTATTGCGACAAATGCTCAGGTGTGAACAGGGACCATAAGAATGAATAGGATTTTTCTGGGAAGCATTTTATCGCGCTTATTCCGCTGCTACAATATGCTTAATGTGAACCAGGCCTTATAGCCCCCATTCATATCCAAGTGTGAGCGTTTTTAGGCAATTTTAGCTTCTTTTTTTTTGTGCATTTTCAGGCTTGAGCGTTTTTGTGCCAGCCAACGGAAGGCTAGTTACTAGGAGTATGAGATAGTTGTTAGGCACAAAATCGCACACTAAAGTGAGGGGAAGTTGCCCATAGTAACGTATCATCTTACTAGATGGTACACCCCCCAATCAATTTTAATGTCTGGTTATAATGTAAGAAAACAGGAAAAACACAAAGGGGTGAATACTTTAGCACGGCACTGAATTTAGCTCTATTAAACTGAAAGGTCAGTTGGTCTTTTAAAGTAAATGTAAACCTAAATGACATTTGTTATTGTAGAATAACATCGAGACTTTAACAGACACCCTCAAAGTGTATCACATCAGAGATGGAATAAAAAACCAGACTTTCTGAAGGAAAACATTTAACAGAAGTTCTAGGTGCAAAAATAAAAAAGTAATCATCAAAAAAATTCATCATGGGACTATATGTCCTTTCCAAACCACTTTAGATTTGTATTGCACTCCAGCCCCTATATTACTGTATTGTTGAACAAATCACCGTATATCCACATTGTACAGTATGCATCATGGCGTTCTCAGTGTAATTCTACAGGACTGGTTTGTATACAATGCGTTTCATGGAAACAAAAAGCTTCTTCAGGATAAACAGTGGTATTATAATAGGAAATGTACAAAATGATATATTCCACTCTGATCTCCTCCATCCATCTCCCCCTGCAGGCTCCCAATAAATTCAACGGACACAAGGATGGTTGTACAGTAATACCTTGGTTCATGAACGCTTCAGAACAGAAAGTTCGGCAAAATTTCGCTTCCGTTTGCTAACTCCACAACGGGTGACGAACACGACCGCGGCCATCTTCCCCGCTCTGACACGTGGTCGTGGCTTGCTCTAGTCGAGCAAAACAAATGGCAAACACACATCAATTCGTCACCAGCTTTACAGCAAGGTGCACATGGAAAGGCTTTATACAGTACAACAGCAAAAAGTTTCCCAGCACACTCACCAGCCAGCATGCAAAAAAACTTGTCTCACCGCTAAGGTTAAAAGCAGAGGTTTGCTGTTGCTCTAGTCGAGATTGCGGTCACAGACAGACCTGTGCACACTTGCTGAGAAGCTTTTTTGTGTGCTTTTTAGCACATACAGTATTTGATTTGCTTCGCGACCAGAATCGTGGAACGCATTAAGTTCATGTATTAAGGTACCACTGTACAGTGATTTAGCTGGTGGTGGGAGTATCCAATGCCTGGTGGTGTAATAGCCTTAGTGTGTCCACTCTTCCGCAGCCTCATTTAATGGCACTTATGCATGATTCTGTTTGCTTAATCCTCCCACCTTTGATCATATGGTGGGTTCACTGGCTATGGTGCTTTGCCTTATTAGAAATGCTTAAATCTAACATTTAAAGAAAACCTGTCAGGGTAGAAACATACAGGTGAAACTCGAATAATTAGAATATCGTGCAAAGTTCATTTATTTCACTAATGCAACTTAAAAGGTGAAACTAATATATGAGATAGACTCATTACATGCAAAGCAAGATAATTCAAGCCGTGATTTGTCATAATTGTGATGATTATGGCTTACAGCTCATGAAAACCCCAAGAACCCCAAATCCACAACCTCAAAAAAGTAGATTATTACATGCAATCAATAAAACAAGGATTGTACATAGAACAATATCGGACCTCTGAAAAGTACAAGCATGCATATGTACTCAGCACTTGGTTTGGGCCCCTTTTGCAGCACTTACTGCAATTACTTTTGCACAATATTCTAATTATTCGAGTTTCACCTGTAAATGCTATAATCCCTGTCCTTATTCCCACTTCACTGCTTACTAACTTAGTTACCTGGAACACATTTGTTGTCAGTGATGATTGAGGGCCTGTTCACACTAGGGCCAGAACACACTGCCTCGCATTGCGGCTGACTCACTTTTTAGTGGGGCAGGAGGGGGCGTGGTGGGCCATTCAAGTGACTGGCACCGTAGCCACGCCCTCCGGCTGCAATGCGATCGGCCGCACGGGATCGGAAGGCACATTATGCCTGTGGTCCGGTCCGGTGCAATCAAAATGCTGCAAGCACTATTTTGATCACACCGGATCACATTGCACCGGACCGCAGGGGCCCTGAGGACAGCCAACTTAGATATGTGACTTAAAGTGACACTAAACTCAGGAGATACACAAATAAGATACATTTTTGTTATTAGTTAATGTATCAGCTGTACTGTAGATCTCTGAATTGGTGCTGACACTGTCCTTTCTCCTGGAGGGTGGCTACTTTTGTTCCCCATGGTCCCTGTGTGTGTTGTAAAGTAGCCACCACTCCTAGCTCACTCCTGTGATGGACTACAATCTCATGTTTAGTTTACTGATTTGTATTGAGGTTGTAGTCCATCACAGGAGCGAGTTTGGAGTGGTGGCTACTTTACAACACACACAGGGACCAAAAGTAGCCACCCTCCAGAAGGAAGGACAGTGTTATCACCAATTCAGAGATGATTTGAGGATCTACAGCCGAGTGATACACACATAAGATACATTTTTGGTAATAGGGTACTTGAATACAATTTTAAGATTTAACTCCTGAGTTTAGTGTCACTTTAATAAGTAGTGAGGCTAGGATACGGATGACCAATCCAGAGCATGAACTTTTAAAGTGTATGTCCAGGCGTTAACCAAATTTACATACTCCAAGCTAGAATTCTTTGGTCTAGCATGCAAGACTGGCAATGCTGGCTGGGATTTTAGTGTCAGCTCATACAGAAAGTTAGGAACACACTGGGATTTACAAGACCTGCAGTTGATCTGCTTGGAGGACACTGATGTCAGTGGAGTCTTAATCCACTTTGATTTCCAGTTTACTACAATGTTACTTGGAATTGGATCCTTTAGGCCTTGTTCACACCATCCTCAGTGCGTTCCGGCCCCATTGTGGCCGGAACGCACTGTATCGCATTGCGACTGGCTCAGTTTGTTGTGGGAGGGGGCGTGGCGGTCCATTGAAGTGAATGGCGCCATGCCCTGTGGCTGCAATGCGATCGGCCACGCGGGAACGCA